ACCCCTCTAGCCATCCTGCCCTACTTGGGGGGAGGAGAATAAAACTGAGAAATACTTGTGAAGCTCACCGCCCAGAGGCAGAGCCTCACTCAAGTCTGAGATCTCATCACAGGACTACGTACGGAACATGTCTCCTCCCCCCACCCCGAAGGCCTGCCTACCGCAATTCCTTTCACCTTCACCTAGCACGCCGAGTGTGGCTAGCCAGGAAAAGTTACGAAGCATGCCAAAAGGCAAAGAACACAATCTGAAGGGACAGAGCAGACACGGCAGGGGTGTTGGAATTATCAGGCGGGGAATTTAAAACAACTATAATTAATTAGCTAAGGGCTTTGATAGGTAAGGTAGATGGCATACGGGGACAATGGGCACTGTAAACAGAGAGATGGAATCCCTTATAAAGAACCAGGGGCGCCTGGGTGGCTCAGTCGTTAAGCGTCTGCCTTCGGCTCGGGTCATGATCCCGGGGTCCTGGGATCGAGCCCCGCATCGGGCTCCCTGCTCTGCGGGAAGCCTGCTTCTCCCTCTCCCACTCCCCCTGCTTGTGTTCCCTCTCTCGCTGTCTCTCTGTCAAATAAATAAATAAAATCTTTAAAAAAAAAAAAAGAACCAAAAAGATGGGGCACTTGGGTGGGTGGCTCAGTCGGTTAAGTGGCTGCCTGCCAGGGTCCTGGGATCGAGCTCCGCATCGGGCTCCCTGCTCAGCGGGCAGCCTGCCTCTCTCTCTCCCTTTGCCTGCCGCTCTGCCTAGGTGTGCTCTGTCAAAAAATAAAATCTTAAAAAAAACAATCCCACCACCTCTGTGCTGACAGCACATGGTGCACGGTGACACAATTCTGCTAACAGCCTGGAGTTTGGATTCTACAGGCTGGGGGACACTGTCCCAACAGGACTGCCCTTGCTTCAGACAGCAGCCACACTTCGGGGATCCCCAGGCCACCGACACTTCTGACTGGCAAATCCAGAAGGTAATGCTAACCTTGAAAATGAAAGTTATATTACCAGCAAAAATAGATTTATTCAGGAATAGCAGAGGATTGCAATTTGGGACATGCAAGTCATGGCAAAACTACACACAAGTCCTGAGAACAAAAGGGAGGAACATTCTTTGATAGAGCAAAGGTGGTGGGGTGGGGTTTGGGAGGGCTGTTATAAACAAAAGTCCGTTGGCGTAAACTGGGAGTTCCAAGTGTAATGGCTTTTCACCGGCTGAGTTGTAATGGCCTCTCATTGGCTGGGCTGTTGCCGGGGAAGGAGAAAATCTCTCTTCCTCCTGCTGGGGTAGTAAAGTGTGGCAGATTGAATGGTCAGCCACTCTTCTTGGACCCATATGAGAGGGGAGTATGCAGGGCTGTTGCGAATGCAAGGTATTCTCTTCCCACTGGGTCTGCAAAGGGCTGCAAGGAGTGGTACAGCATGAGAGCTCCCCCTTCCAGCCTCCCGACTCCATTTTTTTAAAAAAGATTCATTTATGAGAGAAAGAGAGAAGGAGCCCAAGCGGGGGAAGGAGCAGAGGGAGAGGGACAAGCAGACTCCGTGCTGAGTATGGGGCCTGAGGCGGGGCTCAATTCCACAACCCTGATATCATGACCTGAGCTGAAACCGAGTGTTGGACGCTTAACCAACTGAGCCATCCAGGTGCCTCCCAACTCCATTTCAAATGAGGCTTCCTTTATTCAGCTGTGCAGCTCCTGTGGTGTCTTAGTCTGAGATGCTGTAACAAAAGTACCAGAAACTGGGTGGCTTAAATCACATTTATTTCTCACAGTTCTGAAGGCTGGAAGATCCAGCCAAGATCCAGGACTGGTTGATTCAAAGTCTGGTGAGGAACGGCTTCCCGGTTCAGAGCTGTCTTCCTGCTATGCCCCCACATGGCTGAAGGGGTGAGGGAGCTCTACGGGGGTCTCTTTATAGGGGCACTAACCTCATTCATGAGGGCTCTGCTTTTATGACCTAATCCCCCCAACCCTACCATCGCACTGGGGGTTAGGTTTCAACATATGATTGTTGAAGCAACAGAAACATCCAGTCTATGACACAGGACTTCCCTCCGGCTCAAGAATTCACAAAAACAAAACAAAACAAAAACAAAATTCACGAGAACTCCCAGAACTCAGGAAGTGCCATACTTTTCAGTGTGTGTAGACAATGCATACAATGTCTGGGCTGCAAGAAAAAGTACCAGACACCACTTTGTTACATTCACAGATTCTAAGGTAGGTCAACCAGCCTTAGCCCTAGCTGTTCTTGTGGGTTCAAAAGATCGGTGCCTACAGCCCTAATTGTCTCCTGAAGAGTCGACTCCTTAAAAAAATCAGCTCATGAAATAATAGCTCAAATACTCTGAATTAACTAAAGTCAATAGTGGGGGGGAGGCAGGATAAAGAAACGATATCCCAATATTAGTTACAGGTCACAGATCCATTTCAGAGTAATTAAACCAGAGCACTGACCGGTCTTGAATAATACAAACACCTGACCCTGACCTGCTCATGCCAGAGTGACTGAGTCAGTCCCTGACACACCTGCGTCTGGGGTTGTAGTTTTCTGTTTGTGTTTCTGGGGATTTCTGACTCTTCCCCAGGGCACCAGGGAGCATCTAGGAGGCATCTCCTCCATGATGGGATGGCAAGAGTAGTGAGCAGAGGAATCCAATACCTCCTCATCTGACTGATTTTGCAAAACAAGAAATCAGATGAATACAAAGTTGCCCCAACTTTGAGGACTGTGCACTGGGCAGTGGCAAGGGAACTTACGTCCCACCATCCCATACGCACACAGGATGGCTCAAGACAGCAAGGGTTTCCATCTCCAGAGCCCCGTGCACAGAGCTCAGCGTGGGCTACGCACTTGCCTCTCTCACACAGAGGGAAGTATCCGCCCCATCCCGAGGCCGGGACAACACGCAGGGGAAGTGCGCTCTGTTGCTCTGAGGTCCACAGGAGAGAGCCGCGGCAGGACCCACGGATTCCCCGCCAGCGTTCTCCTCCTCTCAGCCCAGCTGTCTCCCAAGCCAAATGGGCTTCAGGCAAGGCTTTTGTTTCAGAGGATCAATGAAGATGCTTTTGACCTGGGCCAACAGCAGAGAAGAATCACCAAAGAACTCTTCTTCCCAGGATCAAAGGAAGAAAACTTAAAAAAACCACATCTCGGCTACTGCAGGGATCTCTTCCCTACAAAGATGATCTCCCTCCCAAGGAAGTGGAAGTCCTTGCCGGGGGACGACACAGATCAACACACCCGTCAGGAATTTCCAGGGCTCGGGGCTTGACTGGAGCGCCCCAGAATTCCAGCACGAGGCCAGAGATGTGTTACATTCTCAAATATTCATAGAAGAGGTCTGGGGTCCCCACGTCCCCAATGGTGACCTCTTTTTTATACTGCAAAGAGCCTGATCTGAGCTCCCCATCTTAGGAAAGTCCAGAGCAGGATTCATTTCACCAACAGGAGGCTAAATTCCTCCCACTTTTGGATTGGGAATTTATATCCTGACAACATCAGGATATAAGAAGCTTGGGAAATTCTGGCAATCCATTCCTTCCTTCCCCTCATGGAGTGGGGTTATTTTCACTGCACAGAAGCACTGCAGGAAAGTTAGCCCCTTGTGCTTGAGCCCTGTAGCGTGTTCTCTCCCTGGCCCTTAAGGTCTCTGGCTCCCCTAGCCTGGTTAACCCCCCCATCTGGAATTAGCTCAAAGGAGGCAAAGAGAAGGGGCTAGAGCCAGTGGCAGGCATCTTGACTCCCGTGAGGGCCAGCCCTAGGCGTGCAGCCTGTGGCCAGGGATAAACAAGAATGCTGACGTTTCCTAGGATCTGCCAGAAGATGCTTTGGGCCACAGGTAGTCACCCCAGCAGGTGAGCTAGCGTGGTCGTGAGGCTGCCCCGCATGACCTGTCCGTGTGATTACAGGCTACGGATAGCAAGCCTAGCTGTCCACTCAACTGTGCTGGCCACCATGGGATCTCCACCAGCCAGTCCAGGATCTCACAGTCCTGGGGAGGAGAGGCTACCATGGAGCCCAGTTATCAGTAAGAAGGCAAGACGACACTCTACTAAGAGCAAAACCACCACGCTCTGTCAACCCAGAGCAGGTTCGCTCTTGCCCCGTGGAGTTCCTTGCCCCAAAGCCTAAGCTATGGGAAGAAGGCCTCCCCAAGGCTCTGTGGGTACAGCCAAAGAATGTCAGCCAAGAGTGGGAAATGGGAGGGGTTTGCATCTGTGGGACCTGGGTCACCTTGACCTTCAATCACAAATTCCACAAAGGCTGATTCAAATTGTGGTTCGAAACCTTAGCCTGAAAAGTCTCCTATTGCACTGAACATTTGAAAGCCATCGACGGGGTGTGAGGTCCGAGGAGAGGAAGGGGAGCAGAGCTATCTGCCAGTGGAGGGAGAGGACACACTCCTTCCAGCAACTCTGATCTGGGTGGAGACCTGCCACGGGTAGTTTCTCTTAAGGACAGAAAATAACCAGGGTCTGAGCATACACCCGAATGCCCACATGTGGGCAGGTGGAGTGGAAGGGGGGTGAATAATTGAAATTCAATTGCTTTGGAATTTTTAAACAATCTATTGAGTTGAATAGCCCTATAGGGAAGAATCAAAATGCTAAGATCCGAAGGCTGATCCAGAGAGCAAAGGGGCTCATACCACGTCGCCTGAGGAGCGCACGGTGGCTACAGATTCCCTCCAAGAGGAAAGGGCGCTAACGATTTTACCCCCCAAAGCCCAGTCCCACTGCCAGCAGCCAGAGACCTACCAGAACAAGGGGGAGGAGGTCACCCTGCCCTGACGGGCACCAGGAGGTGGCACTGCTTCCTGGCCCACCACTCAATCACCCCCATCCCTTCCCCTGGCCAGATCTCTCCCCCTACCCCATCCCCCGGCCCCCGCCTCCCATCAGATCCCCTCCCACACTTTCAACCCCTGGTCCCTCAGAGGTCCCCCTGCAGCTCCGTCCCCCACAGTCTGGGGCCCGCGAAGGCCCGCGTCCGGGGCCTGCCTACTTGTAGGAGCAGATGGAGAGCATGGCACCGGCAGAGAACACCCAGAAGGCCGGGTACACGGCTTCTGTGAAGTCCACCTTGAACTTATACATCAGGTGGACCTTGTCGGCGATAGCAAAGAAGATGACGAAGCCATGGTCACAGTTGAGAAGCACACCGACCCGCGTGGCCTTGGTGGAGGGCAGCGTCTTCTCCACGTTGTTGTGCCATGCAGAGATCTTGGTGTTGAACCACTCCACGCACCACGAGGCGCTGTTGCGGCCGAGCCGGCTCTCGGGGCCCTGGCGTGGCATGCTGCCGTAGCAGATGCCCACCCCACAGAAGTGGCTCTTCTGCAGCTCCACCTCCCAGTAGTGGATCCCTTTCTTGTAGCAGTGCAGGCCCAGAACCTGAGAGCAGTACACGAACCTCTTGGGATGGGGCTGGTAGTTCAGGGATGCGTCGGCCACAGAGGCGACTGTGTAGTTCTCCGACAGTGCCACCTTGTTGTGGGCGGTGTTGTAGTCCAGGCTGAATTTAATGGCATCTAAGAAAGCATTACCCAAGGGATCGATTACAAGGTGCCCAAAGTGCTCTCATGTTTAAACCTTTCCCCAACTGGTAGTACTTATTTATTTTATCCATCCAGCCTTCCACCCAGCCATCCATCCATCCATCCACCCACCCATCCACCCATCTATCCACCCA